GTGACAATCTTCCTCTCTTCACTTCTTCAGTGCTGAGATTACACGTATGTGCCACCATGCCTGGTGTTTGCCCGTTTTTAAATAGTTATTTGGGTTTTGTTGTTGTGGAGTTATAGATCTTTATATATTTTGGATATTAACCCTTTAATCTATGATTTTCATCTGCAATGTATTTTGAAGTTATATTATTAGTTATTGCTCTAGGGATTTTATCTACCTACTCGAAATTAATATTCTGGGAAACCCAGAAACTTTATTTTTAATGTAACTCCACTTTTCTTCCTCCTCTTTTGTGTGATTATAACATTATATACACATATAGTAGTATAATTATTAATCTTATGCAATTTTCTGCCTTTTTTATTTTTCTATTTTTTAAATTTTCTGCCTTTTAATGAAGTCAGAACACACAGAAGGGTCTATTTATTTTTTGGCAGTACTGGAGATTGAACCCAGTGCCTTTGCACTGAGCTACACCTCTAGCCCTTCTATGTTTTTGAGACAGGTTCTTATTAAGGTGCTAAGCTGTCCAGGATGGCTTGAAATTGTAATCTTCCTGCCTTAGGGTCCTGAGCTGTGATTATAGGCACCACCACACCCGACTACACACACTGTTCTTACGGTTTACCCGTATACTTACCTTTTCAGTGCCACTTCATTGTTTGTACATCGATCTGAATTACTATCTGCTATAATTTCTTCTTAGCATGAATGACTGCCTAGAGTACCTCAGGTATGGCCTGGGCTGCTAACAATGAATTTGCTCAGACTTTTCACCTTCACTTGTTTTGGGAGTTTTGTTACCCTTGAAGGACAGCTTAGGATTCTTGACATTTTTTTCTTGTATCGTATATGTGCCAGCCGGCTACCTCCTAGTGTGCTGTTTCCATGAGAAGAAAGCTATTATTTTGTTGTTGTTCCTCTCTATGTGACAAGTTTTTCTGGCTTCAAGATCTCTTTCAGCAGTTTGGCTCTGGTAGATCTAGGTATACGTCTGTTTATCCTCTCTGGGGTTGTGGACTTTCTTAGACCTGTAGATTAATGTTCTGCATCACTTCTGGGAAATTCTCAGCCACTATTTCTTTTGTTTTTTTGAGACAAGGTTTCACTATGCAGTTCAGGCTGGCCTTGAACTCACTGTGTAGCCCAGGCTGGCCTTGAATTCCCAGCAATCCTCCTGCCTCAGCCTCCCAGAGTGCTGGGTTTACAGGCATGAGCCACCATGGCCAGATCAGCCACTATTTCTTCTGACAAGTTTTCTGCCCACTTTTCTCTCACACAGTAGTGCTCTCATCACACACCAAAATTGGTGAGCCAATGTTGCACAGAGTTCTAAAGCTCTGTCCACTTTGGTTTTTTTTTTTTGTACCAGAAACTGAACTCAGAACCTCACACTTGCCAGGTAGGTGCTGTGCTACTGAGCTAAATTCCCAGCCCCATCCACTTCTTTTCTCCTTTATTTTTCATAGTTGTACAAGTTTTCAGACTTTCTTCTGCTTTGTCTGTTGGTTCCTCAGTTCAATTTTTCAGAATTTTCTTTTTTGAAATTCTGGCAAAATATACACAGTGTACATTTTACCAGCTGCACTCAATGACATTAGCACATCCAGTGTTATGCAGTTACCCCCTGCTCACCCCCATAACTTTCTCATCACTTTACACCGAAACTTCACTCGCATTAAGCCGGTGGTCCTCAACCTTTTTTGCACCAGGGACTGGTCACAGAGGACTAATTTTCCAGACTGAAACGGGGTGACTTTGGGATTCTCATAAGGAGCACACAGCCTCGATCTCTCTTGTACATGTAGTAGGGTTCCTGCTAGACCTCAGGTGCTAAGTAGGGGTTGGGGACTCTTGTGTTAAAAGGTTTTTCCTTTCTCCTGTCCCTAGGAATCAGTTTTATTTTCTGCATCTGTAAATGTCACAATTCCAGTTATCTGACAGAAGTGGAATTAAATAATATTTGTCCTTTTATATCTGGCTTATTTGTTTAGCATGTCTTTGAGGTCCATTCATCTCATAGCATGTATCAGAATTTCATTCAGAATTGCTTTGTAAAATAATTTCTATTGAGACAATTAGTTAAGTCATCAATTTCTTTTTTTTGGTACTGGCACTTAACTCAGGATCCTGCACTTGCCAGGTAGGCACTTATGCCATTATGCTATATTCCCGGACCAATTTCCTTTAGTTCTTTAAATGTGGTTTTAATTCTTTGACCATAATTATGCACAGACACACTTGGGGGGTGCTGGAGATTGAACCTAGGGCCTCACACATGTTAATCATGTGCTGTACCTGAGCTGCATACAACTCCAGCTCCTGGTTGGACGTAGAACAGTTGATTTGAAGTATCTGGTGCTAAGTTCAACATCTGGACCCAAAGAAAGTTTCTGTTGACCCTTTTTGCTTCTTGAGTCACACTTGTCTCTCTGAATATCTCAATTTTGTTGTTGAAAGCTCAGCACTTTGGAGGCTGGGGGTTTAGCTCAGCGGCATAAGCACCTGCCTTGCAAGCAGGCAGCCGTGGTGAGTTCGATCCCTGGTACCGATAAAAACGAAAAAGACAAAAAAAAAAAAAAAAAAAGAAAGCTCAGCACTTTGATAATATAATATAGCAATTATAGGTTCTGGGTTTTTTTCCTCTCTAAAGGATACAGTCTCACTAGGTAGTTCAGGCTTGTGGTGATCCACGTGCCTCAGCCTCCTGAGTGCTAGGATTATAGGTGTGGGCCATCATGCCCTGCTAAAGTTGGTTATTTTTATTTTCCTTAATTTGATAACTAAATCTGTGAATCCTGTTTCTCACATGCTGAATAGGAAATGATATTTCATCAATTTTTCTTTTAAAATCTTATTTTTAAGTTTAGCTCACAGGAGTTACTTTGTGTCCAAGGGTTAGCAAGTGATTCAGACAGATGAGTTCTGGGTCAGTAAGGCTTCCACTGTCAATGTCCATTTGTGTGCATGATATTAAAACTCAGGCAATTCTGGCTTTTGTTTTGAGGGGCTTTCTTGTATTTTTCTTCACGTGCTCCCAGGTTTACAAGTAGTCTCTGTGGATGTGTGGAGAGTTTAGCAAGCTCTCCTATGGCTGTTTCATTTCCCACTTTTGTTAGCTTTCTGAGTAGGCTGCTGTTCAGTTGCTTAAGCAAACCAGGACCACAGCAGGCTAGCTGAGCAATGGTTTGCCCTGTATGCTTGCCACTAAGTTACTATTGCTACCAACAGTGCCGCTGGACCTGGAATTTTATGTCTATCATGTTTTACTGTATTGGAAATTGAGCTCAAGGTCCTCTGCACTGAGCTATGTGCCTCCCCTGCCCCCATGAGACAAGGTCTGGCTGGGTCACTCAGATGCATTTTGTGTCCAGACCCCCAGTTGGAATGGTTTACCTCCTTGCTGCTCAGCACCACTCTGGGCTCTCACTGGGGCCTGGCACACAGAAAGAACAAGGATGATTCCTGAGGGGGGGCGGGTCACTAGATATCTAGCTAGGGAATGAGAGGTAGCCCAGGACCACAGCACAGAATCCTTGATGTTCAGTCTGTTTTGGTCTTATTACTAATGGGGTTTTAAAGTTTTGATCATTAAAATGATTGGTGGCATGGTAGCACATGCCTGTTAATTCCAGCACTCAGGAGAATGAAGCAGAAGGATTGCCTTGAGTCTGAGATGAGCCTGGGTTACATAGTAAGTTCAAAGCCAGCCTGAACTGTGTAGCAAAATGCTGTAAAAAAACCAAAATCAAACCAAAAACCTCAAAAAGACTGGTGGTGGAAGTGTTACTCCCCAACAAAAGAAAGTCCTGCACTGGTTAGGCAGGCCTCCAGAGCAGGAAGCAGAGGCTTCCCCAGAACCATCAAGCTCTGGTTTCTCCACTGGGGCCTGGCTCTCCCCTGCCTATTCAGGAGGAGAGTGGAGGAATTGAGAAAAAATCTTCTCACTAGATCCTACATGTCCCTTTTTGGTCCTATCTAAAACATTAGGTTTACAGTTATTCAACCTGGTATTTTTTTTGTCTTTTTCACTTTTATTGGTACCAGGGATTGCAACTGCACACTTGCAAGGAAGGTGCTTATGCCGCTGAGCTAAATCTCCAGCCCCTAACCTGGTATTTTTGAAACTTAACATTTTATTTCATTTTAGAGACAGCTACCCACTGTTTTGCCAAAGAGACAGCCATGGGACCTGTATCAGTGTAACCAGCCGAAGCCAGTTTTTTTCTATCTTGTAGCCACTACCTTTCCATGCAGGTGGTCAGGGATGGGTGCTTATCCCTGCCGCAACTTCATGAACTCATAGAATATTTTCAGAGAGGATCTGAGTCACACCCTAAAACCCATTGAATAGCTAAAAGGTTAAATTCTGAGCTGAGTGGGGTGGTGCACACCTGTAACCCTAGCACTTGGGAGGCTGAGGCCGGAGGATGTTGAGAGTTCCAGGCCAGCCTGTGCTACTAGTGAGTTCAAGGCTAGCCTGGTACAAGACTCTGTCTAAAAACAAAACAAGAGAAAATCTGAGATTCTACCTTAAAATCTCTAACAAGGGCCAAGTAGCCCCAGAGTTTACATTTCAGAGTTTATCAGAAGGCTTTCAACTTCCTGCAAGTAGTCAAAGTAGTCAAGACTTCTCACACAGCAGGTGGCTTTTCTCTGGAATGAAGCGGGGCTCTGGCCCAGTTATCTTCACTAAACAGAAGTGTTCCTTCTTACCCATGACCTTTCTTGTTCCTGCTTTTACCTATTCTCTTCTGCAGACACATTTTTCTGTGGAAACACAACGAACACGCAGGTAACTGAGGCTCACCTGCGGGGTTGTAGAGTACTGGTGGTCTTGCAGAATTTTACCTTGATTCAGCCGACACCACAGGGCAGCCAAGGCCAATTTTCTATAGCCTCCCTACTCTTTTTAAGTTCAAGAGATTGAGCCTTTGCTGAAAGCTGAACAAGGTATCAAGAGAGGGCGAGTGGGCATGGGTTAAAATGACAAACTGTAGTTCTTCTACAAATGTGATGGTTTATTTCAACAAAATGTGGAAAGAGTACATTTGACTGAAGCTCCGTGCTCACTGGAGTATGTGTCCATCGAATTCTCACTTGGATGAGTGAAGGCTGCTTTGTGAACAAAGTGGACAGATAACATGGCAATCTCAGTTCAAGCAAGTCTTGGTCAATATATCATTTACTCTCCTCCTGCCTCAGTAACCTCGCAAGTGTAATGGGCTATGGGAAGATCAGACTACTCACATTGTGTGGCTCTGACTTCTTCATATGAAAAATCCCTGTCCTGTGGATGTGGGCATAGGCACTATAGGGTTCTAAAGAGGAAACTGGTTTAAAGGGCATAATTTGGTAAGGAAGGGAGAGCTAAATGAGCTTAATCTACCCAACCCTGAAGAAAGGCCAGGTCTCTTGGAGAAGTAAATGGTTTTGTATCATCTCGTGGGGGGGAGGGTAGAGGTAAAATTTGATTTACTATAGAAAAGTGTGGAGGAATAATCTGGCCAGAGACAGTCCAACTTCTACCTAGGAGGCAAGCAAATAAGTAGCAGCAGGGGAAGTTTCTTCCTTGACTGAGAATTGACTGAGATATCTCCACCTTTCTCTGCCCTTCCTTGAAGGTGCCAAGTGCCTGCACTTTGCGCCAGGGAAGCCAGAGGGTCCGACTCCTGGGGTGATCAATGTGCACCCAGCCCCACAGTGCCCACCTGTGCTCCAGAACTGCAGAGAAGTCCCGCCACTCCATCTGGACAGGTGCTTTGGAAGAAAGGGAGGGGAAGCTCTCTTCTGTGCGTGAACTACAGAGTTAAGGCTCAAAACTGTAGTTTGTTTGAAAGTACTCATATCCTGCTTCTATACCATCTCCTGATTTCCTCCTGGGGCATCAGTGACGAAAGTACAATTAGCTGCAAGGTAGGAATGGGATGCCACACTAGCTCTCATCACTGCCACTCTTGCTTTAGGAATACCAATGAGGGGAATCAGTAGTGTCTTTTCTTGGATAAACTTGTTGAAAATATGCTCTCTATACCACTCCTAAGGCCCCTGGTGCTGGCTATGTAGGGACTAGAAAGCCTGGAACACAGCAGCACCATAACCGGGTTTAGGGGTTTTAAGGTCATATGGATTCTGTGTTCCTTGGAACCCTTGGCTCATGAGGAAGGCCCATTCCTGGTGCTGAGAATACAGCTGTCCTCAGGCTCCTTTCAGTAGCTATGGCGAGAGGTGGGACCCAGAGATCAGGGAAAGCAGGGACCAGGAGAGCTGCCCCAGAATCAGACATGGGCAACTCTAGGCACTGTGAGGCTCTCCCTCTCTTGAAACTGTCAATGCACCAGGCTTCTAAGTGACCACAGAGTTCTAGGTCTTAAAAGACACCACTTCTCCTTGGCTTGCTCTGCCTGTGGCGTGAGTTTCCATTAATGGCAGGAAGAGCAGTTTCCTTTGGCTGCTTCTCTGCCACCTCAGCCTATGGCACTGCCAGTGATCCCACACACTGGCCTTGTGGCTCCTGGGTGTGTCAGTCAGTCAAGCAGTGGCAAGCAGGGTGGTGGTTAATCAACCACTGTTCATATGCACTGAGAGAAGCTAATCCAAGGTTAAGGCCCCTAAATCAAAAATAACTTGGCCTATTTTTTTCCTTCTTCCTGGATCAATGTTTTCCCCCATCTCTGAATTTTCATGGAAGCTGCAACGATTTCACGCTCTTATCTTTCTCTGTTAATGCATGCCTTGGTATAGTTAAACAGGGAATGATTCCTCTTCACTTACTGTACGCCAGGATGAAAGTGAGCTAAAGAATGATGGACTTGACGTCTCCTCCGTGCCTCAGCTCTAGCCCTCCTCTGCTGCCTGTGGCTGCAGCTCATGGGGCCAGGTGTCAGGATAGGAGGGGCAGCCCTGCTTTTGTGCAGTAAGACCTCATGGTACATAACTGTACCCTTCATTGCCTTCTCAGTCCTGTGCAGGGAGAAGGTCTGTAGACACAGCAAGGGTAATAAATACTGAAGGGGTAGTGTGACCAGGGCTTTGTGATCCTATACCCCAGCATGTCATGCATAACCTGAAACACTGAGAAGAAGCAAAATGCCACTTTGACTCTAGTGCTGGCTCTCCTGTGCCTTCTCATTACAGTGGTTTCAAGTCATAAGAAGCAGCTCTAGCCCTTCACTCCAGAGACAGGGCAGGGATGGGCAGGAAGCTCTTCCTACGTGGAAGGGGAATCCATCGTGGAGAGGATCTGTACAATTTCCGCTCGCTGAGTGGGTGAGATGTGCTGGGTCATATGGACAATGGAATCCATGGCAACTTCTGGATTGGCCTGTACCAAGCTGGAGAGGAAGATCAGGAATGGTGAAAAGCAGAAGCATCTCACTGGGGCAGCTTAAAATCACCAAGTAAACAAGCTAACACAGTCCACTGCAGACACTGTTGTCACTACCTCACCTCCCTTATTTCCTGCATTACAGATGCCACCAGTAGCCAAGGTAGTATGAAAGGAACCACTAAACATTTTGCTGTCAGAAAGAAAGTAAAACAAAACTTCACAGAAATAGGGCCACTGGCAATGGAGCCTGTATGAAAAGGATGCCTACTAACTAAATGCAGGGTAATTTGGCATTAAAATAAGTAATTATAAATTAGTGAAAAAATGGGGCTGGGGGTTTAGCTCAGCGGCATAAGAGCCTGCCTTGCAAGCAGGTAGTCGTGAGTTCAATCCCTGGTACCGATAAAAAGGAAAAAGACAAAAAAAAAAATTAAATTAGTGAAAAAATAACAATTCACCAGTTCATTCATCATATATGTATATCATATATGAATGTATGTATATGGGTGTGTGTGTATGTATATATATGAATCAGGGTGGGTAAAGACTTTTGCTTATGGAATTACAGTGCTGACTGACAAGTGGAGAGGTGAGGTAGAGTTGCAAAGTTATCATTTTGCAACCTCACTGTAAAAACAGGTTCAGATAAGACTCATCAGTAGATGCCAAGTCTAAGAGAAAATTTTAATGGGGATCAAGGTACAGTGGTACCTTGGGTCCATGAACTTAATTCTTTCCATAATTCTGGTCCCAAACTGTAATTGGAAGAGAACCAAATCAAATTTACCTACATTGAACCTAATGATTAATTCAATTTGGCTCTTGTTCAATTTGATTTGCAGCCAAAATTTTGGAAAGTATTACATTTAGGAACTGAGGTTTCACTGCATCTGCATGGCTGTAAAGTATCTTCCTATAGACTAATCATTAAGTGTCAGGGGGAAAAACAGTCAATTATTATATGTTGGAGAAACTGGGTAACATCTTGATGCGCAGATGAACATCATATACCTCCAGATGGGGTGCTCTGTGAAAGCCACATCATCATATACACAGTATTTTGGCAATAATGCATAACCCAAATCAAATCATGAGGAAACATCAGTCAACTTTAAAATGAGCAATGTTCTATAAACTGATTTTTAGTGGTGCTGAGGATTGAACCCCAGGGCTGCCTCTATGCTAGATAGATAAGTGCTTTACCATTGAACTATACCTTCAGCTCAGTGGTAGATGTTAGATAAAAGCATTTAATCAATGTTCATTTACTGAAGTTGATTATCCACCTACAGCTATATGAGAATATGCCTATTCTAAGCAAGTATAGAAATGATTAAAGCAAACAGGGTAAAATATAAATAATAGGTAAATCTAGGCACAAGTACATAGTAGTTTTCAGTGTACAGTTTTCCAGGTTGGTAACTTTTTTTTTGGTACCAGGATCAAACTCATGACCTCCTGCTTCCAGGCAGGTGTTAGTGCCACTGAGCTAAATTCCTGGCTTTTTTTTTTCTTTTCTTTTTGGTAACTTTTTCATAAGTGAAATATTTTCTTTTTCTTTTTTTTTTTTTGTCTTTTTCGTTTTTACTGGTACCAGGGATCGAACTCACGACTGCCTGCTTGCAAGGCAGGCACTTATGCCGTTGAGCTAAATCCCCAGCCCATAAGTGAAATATTTTCAAATAGTTTTATTAAAAACACCCCCACAATGCTCCTGGAAAGCTACCACGCAATCAGCTTTATTTCCTCTCAGAACTGTTCATTCAGTTTGAGCATCTGTATTTAGAACTAATGAGCAGGCACTGCAAGCTAAGTCTTCATCAAGTTGAGATGACTAAGCGCTCAGTAGCAAAGAAAAAATTGTGCCTCAGGGCTACACTTGTACATATGTGGCAACTACAGCAGTCTCAGACTGCAAGACTGTAGAGATGGGCATCATCTCAAGATTTCTGCTGAACTTTTATTCCAAAGAAATGAGCTCCGCTATCCTAGAGCAGTCCCCTGCTGCTAGTCTCACCTGCGGATCTGCTTGAGGACGTAGTCTCTGCTGATGTATTTGATGTTCTCCTCTATTACTGAGCGAACACCATCTTCCTCTGTCAGCTGCTTCTCCAGCCACTCCACCAGATCTTTATTATTGTCCCAAACATAGGCCTGCAAGCAGATGACTCTTAGTCAGATACCAGGGGTCAGGACCAGGCCTGGACATGTGACTACTCTGTATCTGGTACGTTCACTCCTAAAGCTCACTTAGTTTAAACAGCATTGTTACCATACTTCCTGTCCTTTTGGCATGGTAGGATGAGACTGGCCCTCCTCTTCCCTCCCTCCCTGCCTTTTGAGCTGCACACATATGTACTCAAAGTCTCCATCTGCGCTCTCCCAGGGCATCAGTTCTCATACTGGACTCTCTCTCCTGCCAGACCCTGGGTGTCCACCCTTTTAACAAATGCTAAAAGAGCTCAGGAACCTCACAAGTTTGAGACAAACACTTAAGGGGCCATATTCCTTAGTAAAGTGTGCCTCAGAGGGAAGGGCTGATTTTGTGCGTTTTGCTTTTAGAGAAATTGAGACACTGTTCCCAAAGTGTAAGTCTCTAGGCCCAAGAAGGCCTTGAACTGTGCTGCTGGCCCCAGCTGTGGCAGCTTCCTGTGGTCAAGCTGCATGTTTTTTTTTTTTTTTCATTGGTAGCAGGGATCAAACTCACGACTGCCTGCTTGCAAGGCAGGCGCTTATGCCGCTGAGCTAAATCCCCAGCCCCAAGCTCAATGTTTTTAATAAGATACAGAGGTGGACTGATGTGAGGCAAGTCTCACTGCTACCATGCAGCACCAAGGCAGAAACCTACCTTGTATTATTAGCTATGGGAAAACACAAAAAGGCCAAGGAGTCTACAGCCCTGGAGGCCTCAACAAACTACCTCTTGCCTCCTGTTTTCAAGATAATTTAGCTGAGTATTTCCTAGGTAGTTGACTACATAATTATTCAGGAGTGTGTCAGAAGCCTAATAGCCTTCTCCTTGCTCTCTTCTCTCATTTTCTTTACAAATCATTTAGGAATCCTTTTGTTAATGGTTTCTGGAAAACCAAGTACCACCATTAGGGCTCATTCATATTTATGTCATTTTGTTTGGGTAATTAAACACAAAGCTTGTCATTTAAAGGTGTGCTATCCTTCTCTGTTATCACTAACGAGAAGTCAAAATCAGAATGACAATGAGTTTGGCGCTGTAATTTAATAGGTGGGTTCATTGGGCAGTCTCAGGCTTGCAATGTGGTTACAGGAAACCCAGATACAAGCAATGGCACAAAAGCCACAGCTGTAGCCATAGAACCTGCAAAGGGACACAGGAAATGTTTTAAACACATCCTCTGTAAAATCTTCCAAAAGGGAGGAACTGTTTTCCAACCTAGCTCATCCTTTAGAAAACATGTTTTCTTTCAAAACTCTCACTTCCCACCCCTGTCTGGTGGGAAGCTTTGACTGGTTATTTACTATGTGTAATTTCACTGACTTCCATATTTCAAAAACCCACATGGAGTCTTTTACATGTTAGTGGTGCTGTGGCCAAGATGGTACACCTCTCCATACTTTGCCCATCACTGACATCCCATGGCTCAAGGGCAGGATGATACTTGGCTCCTAAGAAGTGCCATATCAATCTCTATTGGTGGGGGAGGGGAACAGCATTGCATTTCCTACTCAGTATGTGGTAGTCCTAACTCATTTGGTCCAGTTTATGGATGTACCTGGACTCAAGACATTTTCATTTCTATCTCCATCACTGGAAATTTACTACACTTCTGCATGGATTGAGAATTTACACCTTCCCAAATTTAGGAAGCTTTTGAGAGAGGGAAGAAAAACAAAAACAAAACAAAACAAAACAAAAAAATGAATGCTTCTTGTGTTTCAGAATAAAAAAAAAACCCAACTAGATTTATCCAAGAATTCCAAAGCCTTTAGTTTAAGAGAATATTTAATACTCTTATTAATCATTTTTAATCCGTTTGCTTTTAATTAAGAAACAGCATGATGCTTTCCTATCAACATATGCCAGGGAGCAGATTAATTGTGGCTTAAGATAACTCTCCTTGATTGGTGTAATGTATTAGCTAACAAGATGCCTGTTTCTAACAACGCTCAGACACTACACTGGAAAGCCAGCTACCCTCTAGAGAAAACTCTTCTTCCTTCCCCTCCTGCAGCCACAGAGTATGTCAGGTGTTTAAATTTAAACATTTAAAGAAGTTCCCAGACAGGATTAGAGCACTACATTCCAAGTTTTATAGCTGCTTGAAAATACTGGCTCTCTATATAACAGATCTACTACTTACTCAAAGCAAAACTCAATGGCAGCCACCAAGCCCAAACCCAATCACGTGCAGATCACAGCCCAAAGTACATGGAGGCAGGGATCAAGTCCTAATCAACTGCAATTTTTAGCAACAGCGAACAAACATATGCACCCACAGTGACTCTGGTTCTTCTCAAAAGACCTAGGAGTGATTAATATAGTGTTGTGAGATACTTGTTCTAGCAAGGAAAAGCAAGTTGCTTGCTGCCCTCTTTAGAACAGTGGAAAGACTCATCATTTCAGCCATCCACAAGGACAGGTCAACTTTGTTCCCAGGAAAAAAGCTATTACCACTTCCTTAGATTTATGAAAATGTGTGGGGCTGGAGGTTTAGCTCAGCAGCATAAGCGCCTGCCTTGAAAGCAGGCAGTCGTGAGTTCGATCCCCGGTACCGATAAAAAGGAAAAAGACCAAAAAAAAAAAAAAAAAAAAAAAAAAAAGTGGTGATCATTGCCGCCAGTATTCCCATTTGGTGATTATTATTATTTAGTATTTTGAGACATCTCCCTACATAGTCCAGGCTGGCCTTGAACTCATGGTGACTTTCCTGCTTCAGCTTTCTAAGTGCTAGAATTATAGGCATGAGCCACCATGCCCGACATCTATTGTAGATTTTAAACAAGTGTAAAATGTTGAATACTAACCTTGTGACAGGCCTGGACTCACGCCGTCCGCACAACACTCACCCCAACCAGAACCCCCAGTACTGGCACTCTACCACTAAGCATACCCCCAGCCCTTTTATTTTTTGAGACAATTCTCCAGGCTGCTCTAACAATCCTCCCTCAGCCTCCTAAGTATGCACCACAGTGCCTGGCCTCCAACAGAGTACTTAATACCAATCAAATATCAACAGTTAAATATCACAACACAGCCTGTCCTACAAATGTATTCAACTTTTTCTCTTATCAGTGGATAGATATCTTGGGGACCGCTTTTAGTCTATCTTACAAAATCTATCCAACCTGTTAGAAAAGTTTTATTACTTGCCAGGTTGAGTGGTACATGCTTGTAATCTCAACACTGTGAAAGGCTGAAACAGGAGGAAAGCAAATTGAAGCCTAGCCTGGGCAACTGGGCAACTCAGAAAGACCCTGCCTCAAAAAATGGTTGGAGATACAGGTTAGTGTGAAGGCCCTGGGTTCAACCCTCAGTATCATCACCACCCCCACCCCCACCCCCCAAAAAAGTTTTATTACTAACATTAGAGAGCTGTTAAGCTCTCATTAGGCAGGGCCAGGGAGTGACCAGGCTCCAACTGAACCCTGCTGTGAGCCCTGATACCATTCCCTACAAATAACACACCTTGCGACCTGTCTGGGGAAGTTCCTGTCAGTGCTGACCTTGAATTCAAGAGCTGCCTAGCCCAGTGGGGTAGGGTGGGATAACACATACATCTGGTAGTAAATGCATGCAGTACTTTGGGAAGGTATTTTCAATGTACTGTGACACACTTACAAGGTAAGACTTGCTCAACAGAAGGTTTGGAAGCAGTGTGATTTTTTTCCCCAAAGGATTTGAAGTAAACAGCAAAAGGCTACATAAACTTCAGTGGATTTGGAACCTCACTTCCTGGAAGCCACCCCACCTCAGTCTGAGGCCCAAAACAAGATGGAGCAATGCTTTCCAAATTCTATCTTCCCTCTTCCTTTCCTGGCCTCCATGTAAGAAGTTTGGTATATGAGACTTAGCTGTGGGTAGGCTGAGGCCAGCGCCCATCAGTCGTGCTTTTTCTTCTGTTATTTTCACAGGAACCTCCCCTGAACCTTTATTTCATTTGGAAGTCCAGAATAACAGTGGTAAGCTATCTGGACAATAAAAATGTGTTATGATTATCAGGCTGAGGGAACGTTAGAACAAGCCAAATCAAATGTTCACTGAATGTCCCCCAGTGTTCAGGAGCCAGCCCCCTGCTCATCATGAAATTATATACCTTAATTCTTAGTCTATGTTATTTTTTTAACTTCTAATATGCTGTGCTGAGGGAACTGCTCCATAGTTAAGTATACAGTATGTTAATGAAACTCACTGAACTCTGTAAATCACAAATATTCCCATTTTATACATGGAGAAATGGAGGCTCAAATAACACACTCCAATCTTAGTAAACGGCAAAGCTATGGTCCAAAAGTTAATTCACATTCTTCTCATTGTTTCATGCAGAGTCCTAATCTCAATTTCTACTATTGGGTTTAGGGGTGGTGGTGGGGAATCAATGAGCCACTTGGAGAAACCACATCTCAAATTGTGAAGCTGAGAATTAAGATGGAAACATGCCCATGAAACAAATGTGTGCCATATTCTTAGGATCCAATTTAAACCACAGTTCTTGTTATGTTTTCCAAGCAGCTGTAGTGATGCTTTGCTTCTGCCTGTAGTGAAACTATGACCCATAAACCCTATTTTTCCTACAACAGGATGATCCCAGTGGATGCAAACAGAAATCCAATAACTCAGATACCTGAGGGAAACAAAAGAATGACATTCCTCAGTTATGTAACATTACAGTGTCAGTTTTCTGTCCTAGAATCCCTTTCTTTCAGGAATACGATTAAAAAAAAAAATTCTCCAAGAAAACAAAACAAAGTAAAACACAAAGCATGGCTATTACTACATGGCTTTTCCTACCAGTAACCATAGTAAGAATTAGAGGTCATTTCTTGGTGGGAAGGCAGGGTCTAGACTCTGTCAGTCTTTGTTCTTGAGTTTTATAGCACACATCACCTGTTACTTTTTGAAGAACAACAAAAAAGGTGGTTCAAAGCCACTTTCTGACACCAAGCAGTTCTACGTCAGCCCTTTAGAGGCAGCATGGTCAGTTCAGCTTCTGAATACTGCAACACTATTCTTTCAAGGACACTAGAGATTTTATCCACCCCACCCCCACCCCACTAAACTGTTCTGCTGAGCTGGCAGAACCTGGAAGGAGGTTTCAAAGCAACAGGCTCTAACTTCATTGGCTCTCTCATCCTTACACCCTTTCCTCTGTGTGTCCTGGGATGAAGAGCTGAAGAGAATGCTGTCTTTTGGATGCAGAGGCAAGGAAAACAGTTTCAATTCATGTACCAATGTTTAGGCAGCCTCTTTCTGAACTATGGGGATGGCAGTGTCTTCTGTATTTGAGTTCTAGCCAGAAGCCTGTGTACATGTGCAAGTCAACTGTTCTCTCCAATGACAAGAGACAGCAATGACCCATTTCTTCAGATACACTGTTCCTTGGGAGCAGGCTGCTAAGGAGCAAGTGAAGGACCTATCACTTCATGCTTGGAGAGAAGCTATTCCCTCTTTTCATCCTTGTGCCTACCAAGGCTGTGCACATCCATTAGTGACTAATGTGGTAGGAAGTGGTGCAGGCCTCTCCTGGCCACATACACACATACTCCATTTACCTAGCCGGCCACTGTTAACTGAAGAACAACCTCTTATTTTACACTTGCATGACTTTCAATGCCAACTTCCACTAGAAGCTGCCGGTAGCCACTGACAAAACTGTCTCACTCAATTATGATGCCACAGACTGACCTTAACCTGAACCAAATGTCAGAGAAGCTTGCACTCCCCTGCTGCACATCAGAAATATTTATCCAAAGAAGCTTCTCAGTCGTAAAGAAATGAGCAGACTTAACACAAAGGTGAATCTTAGAAAGCACCCACTTCAATGGCTTTAAAACTGACGGTGAATCTTGGGGTTTCTTGCTAAGAATTATTAGAGAAGGTAAGCAACACTATCCAGGGAGAGGCTAGTATATGTGCCACTTCATAGGCAAGGACTCTTAAAGCCACTGCCAGGCAGCTCTCCACCAGTATTCTGACCTGGTAGTCACCAAAGAATTTGATCAGAATGACAAATGTATTTTCAACACATATCACTAATATTCTGACAAAATATACATGACATGATTTAATCTATATATTAGCTAGTAATAAGGTAAACTTGTTTGTTTTGTTTTGTGATGGTGCTGGGCACGTGCCAGGCAAACACCACAACACTGAAACACCTCCCTAGCCATAAATTTCTTTTTCTTAAAAATGTGTAGAACTAAAAGTTCTAGCTTTTCCTTCTAATCCTCCTATGTACTCTCTTGTGCAGTCCACTATTCCAGTCATGCCCTTTCTACATGCACCTGTGAGGCAGGCACACCAGGAACAGCTTCTCAGTGAAGTCACTATTGCAAGGCATGCACATGTTCCATGAGCTCACCCTGAGACAGCTTCCTGTAAAGAGGCTGGCCATTTGCTTCCAGGCTGAACACTGTGTTGTAGCATCTCCTGACTATATTACTCCCAGTGCTTAGCATCCTGCTTCTACCTTTTTTAATTCTATCTTCCCCAGCTCCCCATGTAATGTTTTTAAAGTAGATATCAAAGCACATTACCCTGCTGCACAGAATATCTCAGAGGCTTCCTGTAGACAAAGCCGACTCCCTAACAGCTTACAGGCCTTTGTATGATCAGGTCCCTACCCTGCTATTTCTGGTATCAGGGATCGAACTCATGACCTAATGCTTGCCAGGTAGGCATTTACGATGTTGAGCTAACTCCCAGGCCCTCTACCCGTATTTTATCTTGCACCCAATATCTGAGTTGCATTGAAATGTGCAGTTTCTTGGATTCGTGCTGCTTCTGCTATCATGTGTGGGATCACACTATTGCTTTATGTTTGTTTGTGTTTTTTGAGACAGTGTCCTACTATGTAGCCCAGGCTGGCCTTGAACTTACAGCAATCCTCCTGCCTCAGCCTCCAAATGTTAGGGTTACAAGTGTGTGCAACTATGCCTAGCCTTCACATACCGCTTTTGCCCAGAACATCTCTTTCACTTTTGGTCCAACCTTTCTTCTGGTTCACTCTCACTTTGTTGTTTTTTTTTTTTTTTTTTTTTGTACTGAGGATCAAACTCACAACCTAATACTTGCCAGGCAGGTGCTTATGCTGCTGAGCTAAATCCCCAGCTCTCACTTTGTTTTTAAATCTCTACTGAGACAGCACTTCTTCCTGAAGTTTTCCCAGACTCTCCCTCCGCCATCTCTAAGGCTGAGTGTTGGCTCTCAGACTGCACTCTATGCTATATTTAATGTAGGACCTCTGACTCCAATGTCTCTCCACAGAGATGAAGAGACGTACAATATCTACCTCTTTCACCACGTCTCCGTGGCTTAGTGTCAAAAAGTTTGCTGAATGACTCATGCATGAGCTGAAAATATGTGTCCACCTCTTCTGACAAGATGTCATGTTACTGGGGTGTATGTGTGGGAAAGTGGGCCTAGGTTTCTAGGTTCTCTTTCCACTTCAGCCTCTAAGGCCTGAGGAGTCTCAAATGACAGTGCAACCCTCAGGTGGGGATGCAGAAGATGTCCCACCTACCTTCACTGTTCCTTCCACTTCCACAAACCAGCGCCTTAACATGGCCTGGATCTGGCCATCAGTCAGCTCTGGGTTAGCATTGTGGATTTTCTTCTTGACCAGGTCCTCTAGCAGGAGACGCCTCAGCCGCCAGTAGAAGAAGGTGCGAGATGTTTTCCAGTCCAGGATGTCCTACACAATAATAATAATCTTAGTCATCCAAACCCCAACCCCTGCTCAGCATTCAGTCTGGAGGAAGCCCACATGCATAAAAATTTACTTCCCTAGGTAAGGGAGTTAAGAGCTGGCAGTGACCTCCCAGTGCCTTTTTTTTTTTTTTTTTTTTTTTTTGGCGGGGGATAGTACCAGGCATCAAACTTGAGATCTTGTGCTTGCCAGGCAGGCACTTTTGTCACTGAGCTAAATCCCCATCCCAGACCTTCCAGTATCTAAAGGAGGCTGGGTGTCGTGGTATACACCTATAATCCAAGCACTCAGGAGGCTGAGGCAAGATATGAGTTTGAGGACAGCCTGGGCTACATAGTGAGATTCTGTCTCAAACAAACAAAAAACAAACCTACAGGGGTCCACCAGCACAGAACCGTAGCCCACATGCTCTGTTGACTGTGTGTACAGCCACAGACCTGCTGAACGATAACCCTGCCCATGACTTAAGACATTCTGGGGAAGAGACTGAATTCCCAGGTACCCAGAGGGGAAGGAACTGGTTTTCAATAGAGGGCTGAAACAATGTGCACATAGATCAGAGGTGAAGCAGCTGCTGCTGGAACCCTGACAGTGTGGCAATTCAGTCTGAGGACCACATGAGCAGCTGTTACCAATTGAAGGTTTAACTCGTTTTACCACCAGTGAAATAAAGCTTGCATCCTGGAGTCCAAGGAGATCTCAATTATACACTGTTTTAGGGTAATAATGGATATGGAAAGAGTCTCCCAAAAAAGTTGGAAATGGATTGTCTACACAAATGATTTTATTTTGGCTCCAACACCTCCCTTCCTGTTTGCCTCAGTGTAGGATACACTCACTTGCAAGTTTTTGACAAGAGAAGTAACAACTATTGTACTTACGTTAATAACACCCTTCTCTTGCATCCGGCCTGGTGTGTCATGCAAGTCAGCAAACTGCACGGCTACCTGATGGTAAATGGGAATAAGGAATTCTTCCCGCTCCTTTAGCTTATTTTCAAGCTCCTTCCGCTCCACTGGACTTAGCTCTGGGGTGCCTGCAATTAGATAAACCCGCCTGTCACAGTCTGTGGAGACCAAGAATCTACACAGAGAAGCCACAGTCCTGGGAAGCTCAATACCACCCTGCCTCCTTCCCTCTGATTCTCTATGGTAATCACTACCTTTTTGGTGCATAACAGGACTCTACTAGATGCGAGTCCTGACCTTACTTTGTTTGCCACAGGGAGCCCACGTGTGCATGGCCTTGTGGAAACCATGTTGGCAGTCCTGCTCCCCAGGCCACTCCCTGAACAGTGGCAAATAATCATCTGGAGGCCTGCACATCTCATCAGATTGTTGACCAACAGCCAGGTTCCTCCTTCCCCACTAGAGACCAGGGCTGACATGCTGACACCATTCCTGTTGATTAGCTTTAGAGCGGCCAGACAATTCTAAGTGTCAAATGTTCTTCTGTGCTCTGAGCACAAACCAGCAGGTCTGGCTCCCCCAGGCCTATAGGAGTTACCTACCAAACTGGTAAAGCACCTGCATAACTCTTAAAATTGCAACCTACAGTATTTCATAGCTTCTAATCTCAGCTTTAGATACTCTTCACCACAAATTAGTAGAATCCAATCTAGTTGGAGCCAGATCCATGTGTCTGGAGTTAGCTTGGTAGATTAGCCCCTGGTCTTCTGCCTGGCCTGCTACTGACAGCCAACCCTGACCAGAGTAACAAACACCTTCTAGTTCTTGAGCTAAAAGAAAGAGGAAAACACAGTCCACAAGTCCCATTTGGATCACTGAACATATAAATTTATAGTACTCACAGAAAGGACACTTGAGAATTCTTAGAGCAAGGAGGACCCCCTCTGCCAAACAATAGTGTCCTAGTACAGGTGTTGCTATGGTGTGCTTTTCTTCCTAATTACTTTCAGAATGGGATCTGCAATCAATACTGAAAATTTAGCTGCCTCTCTAGTAAGGAGAAGTAAGTTTAGCTGAAAGAGCAATAGGTGACAGCCCCTGGTGTTGGGGACAAGCTTATGTGCATTGTCACCAAACCTGAAATACATGAGCACAAGTGATGGGATAGAGAAGAAAAAGGTCTATTTCAAGCATGCCTGTCTGGGAACAGGCCTTGTTTTTTATGCCACTATGAATCATATGCCACAGATAGCCTTGGGCTGCTGAGTGAGCCAAAAGTATTAATAAACACATGTTAACAGAACAGGGACATAACTATTCTATCTAGGACCATTTTTATGAGTTTTTGGATACCCAACTCCACACCTCTTTTTTTTCTTGAAACTTACCTGTATTTTGCAAATGTGGTGAAGGGTGCTAACGAACATCTTTTCTTGTGCTGTCACAGAGGGCAATTACTGACCTGCTGCCTTAGGCTCCTGATGCTTTGGCAGCCTTCATTCCAGCAGGATCACATTAGGCCCCATATCAGGGGTGACACCTTGGCACTCTACTATGGCCCTACCTGATGACTAACCAGAGGAGAGCTGTCAGGTATCTTCTGATGTGAAACTTTCTTAGCATGTGCTTGGTAGAGAAACTAACGCCCTTCCTTCACCACTGAAAAGAAACAAGACCTTGGAGAAAAATACCTGATTTCAGCATTGCAAGATGGGGAATATAAAATGAGCCTTGGAACAGAAACTAAGCAAACACTTGGTTGGGACACGTTAGATTTCAGGAGTCAGTCTGAATGTGTTCCTACTGCCCAAATCTGAAGTAACTTGAGCACCAAAACAAATTACTTATTAGTATATTCATGGAATAAAATAAGAATCTATTTTGATATAATTAAAGGAGAAACAAGAGGAAAGCTCAGTCTCACATTGTATTAATTGATTTTGCCAAAATCATCAATGGGTGTTAAAACTAGTGGATGAGTCCAATGAGCAACAGCATATTTACAAAGTCTCAAGGTATCTCTTTAGAAATCAGTTAATTACTGAGCTGGGCGTGGTGCCACACTCCTGTAATCCCAGCACTCAGGAGGCTGAGGCAGGAGGATTGTTGGGAGGCCAGCCTGGGCTCTAAAGTGAGTTTGAGGCCAGCCTGAACTGCATAGCAAGACCCAGTCTCAGAAGAACAAAAATAAAAACACCAAATCAATTAATTACAAACAAGAACACTGTAATTTTATAGTAAATTAATTTAGTAAGTGGAAAGTTAAACAAGTTATTAAAGTTACTGTCCCTAGGAATAGGACAAACTGCCATCATGTGCCTCCTGACATGATGTGCTAAGGAAAGGATAGCCCTTGCAATATCCTTGCCAAACATGTAGGATCTGAATCTTAACCATGGGGAAATACAGTAAGATAAACTGGACAAACTGAGGAATATGCTACAAAAGCAGCCTGTTCTCTTAAAAAATGTCAAGACCATGAAAGGCAAAGAAAGGTTGAATAATTATTCCAGACTTAAGGAGACTAAAACTACATGACAATGAGCTGCAAAGTATGGTTTAGGATTAGATATTAGGTTCAAAGAGAAAAAAGAAAAAGCTACGAAGGCCATTATTGGGACAATGGTAAAATTGTAATATGAATCATGGATTAAACAATGGTATTGCATCAATATTTATGGTTCCTGATTTTAAGAAATGTATGGTGGTTATATAAGAGAAAAAAAAATCTATGTTCTTAAAACACATGGAATATTTATGGATAAAGGACCATGATACCTACAGATTAACAGTTCAAAGAAAATCTGTGTGTACTAAGTGAGCAAGAATGAATGAGCATACACAAAATAGTGAAGCAAATGAACAGAGTATTAATAGATTTTGAAAACAAAGTATTAGGAGTTCTCTGTATTCTTGTAATTTCTCTGTGACATCATTATCAAATAAAAAGTTAGAAAACTTAGCCAAGCTGAAAGCTTTTCCTGGTTATCCAATACATATAATCAATATCAAAGCCAGTATTTAGAAAGCACTGGATGCCATTCTATGTGCTTTGTATTTCTTAAATCATTTAATCTCAAAACAATCTCATGCAGTTGGTATTCTTATTATTCCCATCTTATAGCTGAGGAATCTGAGGTACTGAGAATTTACATAACTTTGTCACAAAACAAAACAGTAAGAAAGTCAAGACTCAAATATAGCAGTTTGGTCCCTGCAGGTTTTCAACATTGTATTATGTGTTTCTTCTTGCTTAGTAGGGGGCAGAAGACCAATTTTTTAGTAGTAATAGTAGTAGCAGTAATACCCCTTTCTTTTCTGAAAAGGCCAAGCGATGATGGCAGATTTCTGGCTGAAGTTCTATCTTAGTCCTATTCTATAACTAAGAACAGGAACATGTTACCAATGATTCCTACCCTCTTTGTACATGAGATAGAATTTTGGTAGCTAAGATTTAAGGGTAGCTTCTCCCTACTAAGAGATCAAGAGAACTAATACGACAGCCCTTTCAACAGCCTCCGTCTGGGTAAACCACTAACATCACACTTGAATGCACATATACATATATGTGGACCATATATCACACTGCATTTATTAACATTTACTATGTGTCAGGCACTTCACTCAAACCTTTCAGGATCGCATACCTTGTAAGTCACCATGCATTATGAGGAGCTAGATCTAGTCAGCTGTTAACTGCTGCCAGGCCAAATACCCCAAAGCTGCTGAGTGCTTTCCGAGTTGCTTTGCTGACATTATCTGTGATCCTGGTAGGAAGTAACCTTACAGACAAGGTATCTATTCTATAAACAAGAAAGCAGAGACTCTGAAATGTCAGGTGACTTTATCAATGGCATCCAGTTCTTAAGTAGCAATGTCAGGATTTATTCTTGGATCTAGCTATCTCCAAAGCCTGTATTCTTCCACACTGAATGGTGGTCAAGCAGTTATCCCTATAGTAACCACAGAAGGGAGATCTGCTGGAGAGTAGGTTTGGTTAGCACAGAAGTGGGAGGTGATGTGGGCTGAGGGAGAGTCTCCTGAAATGAGTTATTAGCTTGACCTGTTGGAGGAACAGAGGCAGGTTCCTGAACTAACAAAGGTCGTACCTATCCAATGAAGCTATTCTAGAGCTTTAAAAGAGTAACAAAATAAACACCTATAATGCTCTCATCCTCCTGAGGCTAGGAAGACCACAAAGCATTCCCTAAAGGCCACTGTGTCTGATTTCTTCAGTAATGCCTCAGATCACAGTTGAAAACCCACCTCAAAAAAAGGTAGCAGAGCACAGGAAAGACAGAAGCCCAAAATGTGTTTTAAAGTGCACATAAAAAGGCTAAGGATCTGTGTGCTTTATTTTAGGGAAAAACTGTTCTTTAAATTTTATTTTCTAAAAATAAAAGCCTGTTCTTAAGCTAGTTTTACCCGTGTGTTGCATGTGGAGGGCCCTTCTTTCCTTGTACAGCAAAGCAGCCAGCCCCGGTAATGATTTAGGGGAGATTAACAAATATGTCAATGTCTATTTTCTGCTTAATTTAAAAGTGGCGTCTATAAAGATTTTTGACTTCTGAACCCTGTTCTCCTGAAAGAAAGAAGGTAAGAATGAGGAGGGGGATAAAGAGTGATTATCCTATCATTGATCGTTTGTCAGGAGCATTTCTTATTCACTGGACTATTGTAAAAAGCTAAGCTCTCGATCAATCCTGTAAGCTCCCTGTACAATTAAATATCTTGGAATGGTTTTCTTTCTTTTCTAGCCAGATTGCAGGGCCTCAGGGTTTTTAGGAAAGTAAGTCAGTGTGTATTTGTGTGTGAGTGTGTTTAAGAATATGCTACAGAGAAGAAAGTCATTCTTGTCTTGAACCAGACTTTAAGTAAGACTGAAAGGGGAGAAGAAATGTGGTTGCTCCTATCTCTTTCTCCCCCAAATAAAAAGTCCCCATGGTATTTTAAAAAACACATTATAAAAACTGTTAAACACAGAAGTAGCTCTTCTCTGATCAAATATGAAGAACTAACATTATTGAGATGTTACTATGTGCCGGTACTGTTTAAGTACTTTCCATCTCATTTAATCATCCCAATGATCCTAAAAGAAAACTACCTTACAAATGAGGTACAGACATAA